CTTTGCAGGGTTGGAGCCTCTACATTTACTGAACGTATCGTTTTTAAAGACGTTGTCCCTTTCGCACGCGGACGGAGCTCTGTCATGACGATTCCAGATAAAGACACTGGCTTTTGGGCGTAACTTAACTGTTTATCATGGTGTCCGAAAGAGTCTTATCCCGACTACTCGAGAGAGTGCCACTTCCCAGTTTCATGCCTGTGGCTCAGTCCTTCTCCTCCCTGTTTTGCCCTCTCTGCCATCTTCAAAATCGCATTAGCTGACGCTATCCAAATTGTAAGGCACTCCCATTGCCGAGTGGCGTTAGCGCGGCCCCTTTGTGGCTGCACCTCGCACGTTCTCCGGGGAGCCTCGCTGCCAGGCAGGCCAATCCATTGACCCTGCTAAAGGAAACAAATGAAACACGACGACTTGTTTGGAAGGGCCGCGTTTTCCTAGCCACTTCAGCAAAACATTTTCATCTGCAGTAACCTTGGCAACAGGTCAGAGAGGCTCCCCGAGGGGGCCGCCGCGGCATGCTCAAGAGGGGAGAAATGGGGCGTCGAGAGGGGGGAGAAGCGTTGGCATCACCTCGGGGCTGAGGAGAGGTAGGTCGGGGCGGTGTCAGCTGCCATGAAAGGGTTTGGCCGCTTGCTCCGATTGTAGCTTTGGAAGTGACTTCTGTGCCCAGTCTGTCTGCTCACGGCGTCACTCGGGTCTGTCACAGCAGGCTGGACGCCCTCGCCGTAGAGATGGCCCGTTAATCCCCTTGTACAGGCAGGGGAGCTGGGCACCGAGGGCAGGCTTGTGAACATGTTTAGGCCTCTGCCAATAGATGCCACGTGGGATTTGGAAAAACGTCTCCACGCCCGTTGATATTGTTGGTACGAGGCGCCTCGTCCACGGAACCCTTCCTGCGCCCGTGTCTGCACCCTTTGGTGCCTTTGCTGTCCCTAGCTGGGCTCAGAAAGCGCGTGTCATAGTGTAGAGGTGATTCGGCTCCGATTCGGGAGAAGTATAGGCCTCTGCCAATAGATGCCACGTGGGATTTGGAAAAACGTCTCCACGCCCGTTGATATTGTTGGTACGAGGCGCCTCGTCCACGGAACCCTTCCTGCGCCCGTGTCTGCACCCTTTGGTGCCTTTGCTGTCCCTAGCTGGGCTCAGAAAGCGCGTGTCATAGTGTAGAGGTGATTCGGCTCCGATTCGGGAGAAGTAAATCTGTCCCCCGCTACCAGAGCCAGGGATTCGAGAGTTGTCCCTCCGGTCTCCCATCACAGTCAGGCCTCGGAGGGTGTTCAGGGCTGAGGAAACGGGGGAATCTCTCTCGGGCCAGCCCTCTCCGCTGTCATGGTAGCGTTGGCGTGTTCGTGAACCGCCCGCTGCACGTAAAGTCACCGCTTCTGGGGGCACTTCATTCGATCCCCGGTCTCTTCTTGTACTGACGTCGCTCCTCCGATATTTAACCAGCCTCCGCCTGTGCCAGCCCTGCTTATTCTGGCCTGGGTGGCTGACGAGAGTAATTGGCCCGTCTCCTGTTAATAACGCATGCCTCCCCTCGGAAAGGCGGGGGGCCAGCGGGCGCAGCCCAGGTGCTGAGCAGAGCCGGACAATTCCCTTCCTTGGTTAATGCGGCCCACTGTCCTTTTTGCCTTCTCCAGGGCCGCCTTGCAGTGTGACACCTTCTGTTTACCTCCCCCCCAGATCCTTTGCCATGGCACGCCTGCCTGGCTGGCCAACACGCCCCTCCCTCCACCCACCCCACCTTGGATTAGCCTGTCCTGCCTGAATCTCACCGTTTTTCTTGGTCTCGCATCTCCCATTATTGATTCCTGCAGCGTCTGGCCGCGACGCTGCGTTTAATTCCTGTCCTCCAACGCATTTGTCATCACTCCCCGCGCGGGGTTGTCTGCGGATCTGATCGATACTCTCCCCGTTCCAACGGCCACCGGGCGGCTAACGCACTGTCGGGGGAGCCCAGAAAATACCTGCCCTCTCAACTTGACGTTTTACAGCTGCTGGCCATGTCTGGCTTTGCCTGTTAGGCGTGTCTCTTTTACAGCCGTTCCATCCGGGCCCCGTCTCCAGCTGTGATCCTCTCTCTATCATACCTGCGTGGCCCTCGTTACTGGCGCAGGTGGCTACGCACCTCCCGTGTGTTAGTCATTGATTCTCACAGCACCCCCCGTGTGATACAGCCGTGTTTCACCCCCCGTGGATGGCAGGGGGGCTCTCGCACAGAAGACTAAGGCAATGTCTACATTTGCAATGGAATGACAAAACTTCTGTCGTTCCCAGGTGTGACGGAGTGGGGATCAGAGTCGTTCTCTTCGCTTTGTTGTGGTGCATGTGATTGCGGCTGTCCTGTGCTGCTTGGTAGTAACGCTGTGTGTGTGCCTCAGTTTCCCTGGGCCCTGCACCGGTGCCTGGCTGGGATGGAAATTGTGGGTGTAACTCTCATGGAGGGAGGCTGACCAGGCCAGCACATACACTATGGCCCAGGCTCACTGGAACCTGAGCCTGGGAGGGGGTGAAAACAGGTGACCCCTTTTGTCTGAGAAGCTGGCCTAAGGAGGAGGAGGGGCTGGTGGCAGGGCTGGGGCAGGTTGCTGAGTGTGTGTGGCTCTCCCCCTCCCCCCCCCAGGATGGATGGGACTGGCTGCTCCTGGTTCCTGTGTTGACCAGTCTGCGCCACGTTGCATCCATGTGAACCAAAAAACCTCCTGTTCCCCCTGCCGCCTGAGCGTCACGTCTGGGTGCGGATGGTTCAGGGTCCAGGGACTCCCCACCCCTCGGTGACAACCGGTGCTCAACCCCCCCGCTCCAAACAACCCCCTCACCCC